AACAGGCTGCCCAGGGAGGTTGTGGAGTCTCCTTCTCTGGAGATATTCAAGACCCGCCTGGACAAGGTCCTGTGCAGCCTACTTTAGGTGACCCTGCTTGGGCAGGGGGGTTGGACTAGATGACCCACAGAGGTCCCTTCCAACCCCTGCTATTCTGTGATTCTGTGACCGCAGCGGGCTGTGCCCAGCATCTCCCTCTGAGTGGGATGCCTCTCAGAGCACTTCCAACTCTGAAGTTCAAAGTTACCTTGGCTGAACTCACTCCTTGAGGCTCGACCTTTGCCCGTTGAGAAAATAATTTGATTTGAAGGGAGTATTTCACTGATTTCCAGGGGAATTTTTAACAGGTACCTTTATCTATGCATATAGTCTGTGTATGTGTGAATCGATTCGAAGCATAATATCCTATTACTGTGATTGTAGTAGTGAATTCTTTTTAATCACTCTGTAGATGCTAAGTAAACCAGTGATTAATTGCTGCTAAATTTCAGTGATTTTCTCTCTCTCTCTCACTGTGAACACACCTTGAATTGGTGCTAGACATATCCTTTAGACATAAACCATTGTGGTCTAAGGCTAAGTCTGCGTTCAGCCACACCTAGGCTCCTCTCTGAGACAGAGTTTAAAAAGCAAGGGGGTCCATTCTGACCCTTGTGACTCAACGGGAGGGTCTCCCTTACCCCTTACATCTTTCTTCAATCTCTGTATAAACCATTCTACCTCAATCCTACCTCAATTTTGTATTCCATTCATTTGATAAGGAGTGAGCCTTGCCAACAAACTTTATAAAATCACATTTTACAAATTTTCAGTAAAATCTTTTCTTGCAAATACCTTTGACAGTGATTCTTTAAGCAACCTAACCATTCATTCACAACAGTGCATACACCTCACACTGACAGGCTGGCTAACAAAGACTCCTTACGTCCTTTCATAATCATCACTGTCATTGTCATCACCATAATTCACACTTCCTAGGCATTCTGCCTTTCATTCCTAGAATTACATGCTTTTGAAAACATTATGATTTGTCACACCCATGCAAAGTGGATCTTATTGAATAGTTTTTCAAAGAAGCACACTGAAAAAAGGGGAGACCTCTATAAACTAGAATGCTGTTTTGATGCTAGTACCAAGAACAGAAAATGCAAGGTCTGATTCTTAGGATCAGATTTCACTGGAGTCTAGGTGTTTACCTGCTTAGGCATTCCCGTTCTAAACCTAGCACTCAGTATTCTACAAATCAGTAGACAATTGTGTAGTACTCATGAAATTTGGAAAGAAGGGCTGAAAAGTGAAAAATTTACCTTATCAGTTACCCATGTAGGAGAAAATAAAAGTACACACCATTCCAGTTTGGTCAGTCAGTATTTTGCAAATGCCTTAGCTGCAATAATGAAAAGTAATGTATTTTCTAGGATTAAGCAGTTTCTACATGAGTTTTAAATCGTTCATGAGTAATGATTCTGAGAGTATCATGTCTGGGAGATAAAATACACAAAAATTACGAGTATATGACAAAGATATTTTTGAAAATGCCTAAGAGACATAGGCTTTCAGGTGCCTCTGTCCAAACTTCATTAGACCTGAAGGCAGAAAAAAGGCATTAAAAGTAATTTCCAAAATAAGATGGGTTCCTACATTACTGAAGAACTATTGTTTTGGGGAAAAAAAAAAGTCCATAGTCTAGTTGTAGGTTCATTTTCACAAAACTGTTTAAACTAATACCTACAAAGATAAATTTGAGGAATTATTATGATATACTGAAGAATACAGAATGAGGCAAAGGTTATGCTGCCAGAAACATGCCAGATATTCAGCAGTTCACACAGCGATACCATTTAGTCTCATTAATGTTTTCTAAGAATGTGCATACACAATCTGATCTATCAATGAGCACTAAATCCAAATAGAATTCATTGTCTCTCACAATTTAATCTAATTCATAATATTTTGTAAAATACATTTTTACTATGTTGTAAAATATCATGGAGCAGATTTTGCAAGATTTTTGCATTTTTGCACATAGCTTGGCAAAATGAAGTAAGGATATTTTTCATGTGATGGGCCTAAACTGCACCTAGACCAAAGCCTCTCCCTTTTGTAAATTCTGTTCTTAAAAGAATTAAGATTAATGTTTCATCACTTTCCTATGGCAGCTTTTCTAGCTGAATGTTGCTAATGAGCTGGTCTTAAAGTTGTCTTTTGCTGAACAGGACATCAATGCACTGTCTGGGGTGAATGTGTCTGCTGTTGCAGTTCTCTCCTCTTTTTAACTGTGTAAAACTCTTGTATCCAAATACGCAATAAACACTGCTGCAGAAATTTATACCCATCATGTATATCATAGCCAACAAATGTCAGTGTAGAACTAACGTTAAATAATATTATTATCATTACCTTGCATCATCTTGGCTCCAGGCTGTGATGCTGAAGGCCTTTTTGTATGTATCACAGTGTGACTGAGTTCTTCCTGTGTCATCTATAAGAAAAAATGTATCTGATTGATAGAACTGTTTATACTACTTTGATACATATTTTTCTCTCAGCAAGCAGCAGTACAAGGCACTTACCTCGGGGGGCAAATATTTGAGAACAAGCTTCTGCAAGAAGGGCTTCCTTAGAATAGAGTTGATAGACGGTCGGTCTCTCGGAGATATTTTAAACAACTGAGAAATTAATATCCTCAGGTCATATGAATAGTTGGGAGACACTGGGTGAAAATGTCCTCTGCAGATCTTCAGCACCAGCTGGTGCAAACTATTGCCTTCAAACTTCATCAGTGGAAACAGTAAAAATCGGACAGTAAGTACTGCTGGTTGGAAACGATAGACTCGACACCCCAACTTGAAAAAAAAGGTCCTTGCAGACAGAAGACCTGTGCTATGCAATCTCTTCACAAATCCTCTCTCACTATCCACAGTTTGCTGTGGAAAATTAATATAACCAATCCCTGATTGTATTTTCTGGTTACATTCTACTTGTTTCAGTTGCACAAAACAGCAGGTCCGATTGCTTTTGTACCTGCAAGAGTTTTACTCATACTCTGCTGTCATACGGTAGCAATTTTTCCACAATGAAACATGATTTTGCCAAAACCTGTTCAGTAGAGACCTGCACACATCCTACCTTCACAGTGTTCACCTTCAAAACCTCGCTCCACACAACTTAGCCTCTATGTTCTGTGTTCTCTCAGCAACCAAGGTATAATCTGATTTTTAACAACTGATGCCAGTCAGGTAACTTAGCCCTCTCAGTTCAGCAGATCTCTTAACAGGTCAGCATCAGTATAGCTTTTAGGGCCTTTGTCAGGCAAAACTAATTCTGAAAGTAACTTCTTTCTAAAATTACCATTTCATTTACTTGGCCATTTTGAAAGTGTTGTAAAAAAAAATTTGCTTTAACTTCACCTGCATTTCCTGTCCACATCAAATTAAAAAATGGGCAGTAATACAGAATAAACCAGCTAATACTCATAAGAAGTAATATTAATGTTTTCTCACTTTGTGAAAAGTGGAATTTTCCTCAGCAGTATCCGCTTGCTCTCAGCTCAGCACAATTGCTCTCCCTATCAGTGCTGCTCTGCCTTCTCCAGCATCCAAGCACAGCAAAAGGTCAACTTCTGCTGGGCCCAGGAATCTGATCCTTTTCCTGATGTCGGGATTAGTCTCTGCTGTGTTCCCTTCTCCGCATAATACTCACAAACTGAGGATAATCTGAGGCTCAGATTAGGCTGAGGACAACACAGCTTCCACAAAAAATGAAACATTTAGGAAAATGCTTCTGGGGACTCAAAACTGCTTTCTGGGGAAATGTGGGTTTCAAACTCTTTAGTAAGTATAGATTGGTATTTTCAAACAGAAATGAGTAAAATTATATGCCTAAAGCCTAATCTTGAAGTGTGGCTTCAATTCTTTCCACTGTTCATCTGCCTTTTGAAAAAGTTTAGTACTTATTAAAGAGTAAATGCATGTTTGATGCATGCGTGTGTACATATATAAAGTTGTGGAAATACAATGTAATACATTGTATTTTAGTATGCACAAAAGAGACACAATACAAAAAATTAAACACTGGCAGTCATTCTTTAATATCAATAAATAAACTGAAAATAATTCTAGCAGCTGTCTATGAATACTGTTATTACTACAGTTTTTCCAGGCTGCCCACTATCTTTTTTAATAACACGATATTGATCTGATTCTACGGTACTTACAGGATGCTTTAGTGCACATAACTCATAAAGCACACAGCCAAGAGACCAAATATCTCTGTGAATAAAAAGTAATTAAAGTTTCAGGGAAAAGACTATAAATTTTTATAAAGGTAGTCAGTACCTCTTTTCAGCTCTCTAATTTATTGACATTATCCCACCACAGACTAATATTGGTGCAACTTTAATTTTTCTTAAGAGGCACCAAAAAGAACAACTTGAGATTTCTTTTCAGTTGTGGTACCAATGTTTCTATGATACCGAGGTATCAGGTACTATCATTATCATTGGAAAAGGCACATGACATAAAGAATGCCTGCTTAACATTCATAGCAGGATGAAGGGCAAAGCTGTCTCTGGCTGACTTCATAGTTAAGGAGACAACAAGGGAGTAAACTTGTCCAAATAGCGCCTTAGAGCTGAGATGCTAGTCTGGGCTCCAGAACAGTTGGTGCTGATCACATCCCAGACACAGAGAAGGGGGTCTAGCCCACTCAGCACCTGACTTTTTAGTGCTTCTCATCTGGTATTTTGCGTTAAACCTGAGTGAGCCTTTACAATTCTCAGACCTATTTGTCTTTTCCTGTAGGTGGCTCCTGCAAAGTTCCTGAATTGCCAGCCTAGCAGCTTTCATTTTAGTGTATTTTTATCAACCACAAATGAGTGTATCAAAAATTCCCAAACTGGGAACTGAAAAGATCCATACTTGCACTGGTTATTACATGTTGGAAACACAGACAAGGATTTAATATTTGATGGAGAACCAGATAAATAAAAGGAAAAAAATATACTTTACACTTCATGCCACTTCTAACAAGGAGTATTAAAAGAGGATGAGGTTAAACTTCAGGTTTAAAGTACAAGTAATTTTATAAAAACAAAAAATATAATTACATTAAGCCGGTATATGAATCACAACAAATTCATGATTGCTATACTCTGGACACTGTGAGTCAAAATACAACTGACAGTATCTATTATAGTATAATATAGTTGTTGCATATGATTGATGCACCTAATTATTGTACACAATAATACAAAACTTCACAAAGGGTGACACCTGAAATTCCTGGTGCCCTGCATAAATACCAATTTAAATCACAATATTAATAAAATAAGTTCTCTGGTGCCTGCATGCCCTCATGCACAAGCATATGAAGGGAAGACAGAGACTTACGTTTTGTTGTTATATGGTCGATTTTCGCAGATCTCAGGTGACAGATAATAGGGGGTGCCTACACAGGTATGGGCAAGCTCCATTGTGCTAATGAAATAGAATGAACAAAAAGGCTTACACACTGAAAAAGTTTACAAGCAATTGAACTAGAGGCTTCTCTGCTCCAGGTGAAAAGCCCATGGGGGACATTATTTCTGCTCTCCAAATAGCTGAATAATGCAACACCCTGAGAAAAACTAAAGTATTTCCCAGTTCTGACCAACTATTTTAATACTGGAGGATGTCTGCACTTCAACAGAAAGCACAAGAATTCTCTTTTCCCCACTTTACACCAGTATTGTAATTAACTTTTTCAAGGATTGTTTATCATTAACACGGAATTCTGAAAGCTGTTAAAGACATTACAAGATACTAGAAGTCTCTAGCATACTCAATGAAGCAAGAATATCCTAGGTGGTACCCAGTCACACACGCCAGAAGCAGTGGAAGGAGGAAATGCCGTCCAGAAATTAAAGGAGCAGTAAATGAATTCTAGTTCCATCTTTGGCGCTGACTTTTGAAGGTGTAGCCGAATAGCACCAGTTGGATTAATTTCACTCACTTTTACATATCTACGCTGTGGATGTTAAGAGTCACTGGGAAGTCAGTGGAGAGAAACAGGTACTCACAGAGTGTGATTCCTCTCACACTATACTAGATGTCCATAAAGTGGTAAGTTACACTCTTCACAGAGTATATGAAGTCTGAGTGCCAGAGGTAACACAGACACCTAACTGCAAGTAAAAATAGTGGACACTATCTTGCATTTTAAGTGGAGAACAGAGATGAAAATTCCTTTGTATACCCCAGGGGAGGAGGAAAAGAGAGGCTGAGAAACTCAATTCACTTGTTATATGGGGAAAAGTACTGAAAAGTACTATCAAGCTCAAATTATTTTGTTGTGTAAGCCTATTAAACAGTCTTTAAAATTACAGTACTTGGACAGTCAAATTCTGAGTCCTTAAAGCAATTATTCCCAGAACACATCTGAAGGTAGGCACTTTCTGCATAAGTCGTTTACATGTGGAAGGTTGAGGCAGTGACAGCATCAAAAAGACAGGCTCAAAAAGAGATCAAATTCAAGCACTGTCCTGTTGTTAGCATGCCCCCAGTATGTTTTGGCCGCACCAAAAAGCACTCCCCTAGACAATACCTGGCCACCATGCAGCACAGGCCAACCTTGTCCCCAAAGTCAGTAAAGATAAGGCCACCCTCTTTGGGAGAACAGAGTTTAGCCATATGGATGCAAGCCATGCTGTGCCATGCCATTTACTCTCCGGCTGAGACAGTGGGTTCTCGTCCTTTTTTTAAAAATTAATATAGGCAGAGTTTTGGAGGACATACAAAGAAAATCTGTGCAAAATCTTTTCTTATACTCTTTGCTAAGTTTTTTAACACTCTTCATTTTCTTTTTTATGAGGCACCAGAAGTGATTATCAACAGCTGCAAGAGAAGGACCTGTGCCTCCAGAATCATTTTGTGTCAGTTCCACAGAAAACAGAAGTCCAGTTACGAGGCTAGATACATCTGGTTTCATGCAGGATGGCATATTTTAGGATAACAGAAAAAAATGTAGTGTCAGACCCTTTGCATCCCAGACCTCCTGGACAAGCACAATCCACAAACAATCTGCACATTCAGGTTGCATTCTGAGCATTCATAAACAGTCTTATTTGGCGTAGGTCACAAACTAATTAAAAAAGGTGCTTACCTGTTCAACTGTCTTGCTATGCCAAAGTCCCCAAGCTTTGCTACCTTTCCATTATTGCTAAGAAAAATGTTCTGCAAATAAAAACAAAACTGGTATGCAAAAATGAAACTTGGCAGAGCTTCTTAAGCATATTTTTCACAAGACAAAATCACCCCCTCTCCAGTATCAGTTCTACTACCTGTGCTTTTACATCTCTGTGTAAAACCTTCTTGTCATGAATATGCTTCAAGCCCAAGGAGATCTGCACAAACCAACTCAGAATCTGCAGTGAAAGTTGAAGGGAATAGATATCTATAAATTTGTGTGACTCTAATGTCCAGTGGGGCATCTTACTGAAATGTATAAAATAAAGACAGCAACAAAATCTAAAATATCTAGTGCACATACAATGCAAAATAGCAAAAAATAATATTTTTTAAATTAATGCCATAGACTTTTCATTTCCTTCTTTAGTGCTATCACAAAACTACATGGAAATAGATACCCGCTCCACTTTACTTCTCCCCATCAAGTACTCACTGACTGTGACAGGACGTGTATTGAACAAGGACTGAAGAATCACGTCAAAGGACAGTAAGAATACTAGACTTCGATTTAGAAATAAGTGAGTTCAAATAAGAACTAAGAATTGGGAAATGTCTTCTTAATGCTCAGTGGTGGAAGTCATACCACTCAGTTATAATACTTGCAGTCTTACCGAATGTGGTCCAGAAAAAAAAACAGAATAAAAGCATGAAGGACTGAAATATGGTGAAAGAATGGAGCTATGAAGAAACTTGCATGATAAGTAAGCACACAGGCTTATCCTCTATCCTTGACCAGTACAGCTCTTCAACATATATTTAACTTCAAATATAGATGTCTTTTATTGAACAAGGGCCTTTGAACTTAATTCAGAAACAAAAGTACAATGGGCTTATATGCTTCTCTATTTCAGAAAATCGATGATCATGAAAGACTTTGATTCAAGTAATAATCTTCCATTTGGCAATGCTTCACATTAAGCAGATGATTTCCTGAATAGTGCTGATGCCATAAATGAGATTTTCTTAGGCATACATTCGAAAATATAAAGATATTTTAACATTACGTTAAATTGGGCAGTTTGCTTTCCTTTCTTGATTGCCGCATGTATCTGTAGTTTCTATAACCCATTCTTCTGTCTGTACTTCCTTTGCCTATCTTTGGATATTTATTATTCTCTCATTGTCAAGGGGTTTGCGTGTGTTGGTTCTCTTGTGTTTTCACGATCTATGGTTTTGTCCTTTCTTTATTTTTTCTCATGTTCTCTCTGTCTCTCATATGACTCCCAACAGGATCTTAAAATTCGTTATTACTGAAACAGTAATTCACTTCAAACTGACTTCTACACTAAGGAGTTCCTCTTTTGCTACTAAAGCAAAAAGAAAAGTCACAAAACTTCTCTTTTTTTTTTCCACTTTTATGCTTTAGAGTATATTTCCACTAACAGGTTGGATACTATCGATCTAGTTTCTAGGTAAATTTTCATTGGACCTGCAAAAGTAGAAGACTATGCATGATTAACTAACCTCAGAGTTCAGTACACAAAGCCCAATACATAAGAGAAACTTTCCTTCAGAAAGCTAAGAGTTAGTAAAAAAATAAAGGGATAAGTAAGGAATGGTGGGAAATTCTGTTTATGTGAATTGCAATACCTATCACACTCACCTATTTACAAAATAAAATATATGTGTGAACGTGGTCCAAATGCAGTTGGATGTCTGGGCTCCTTTCTCTGTGCTGGTTTAACAATTTAAATGGCATCAGAGAAATCTTTACCCAAATGAAATTAATGAGAGCTTTACCATTGACTTCAGTATAAAGTAGGATATGCCATGATGAAAAAAGCATAAACAAATGAAGAATTCTTATATAATATATCTGCCCCGTAACTGTAAAACACCATTTAAAAGAAAGTCTCTATGGCTTAGTAGGTATACTACTAATACAAACAAAAAGTAAATCCACAATGGAAGGAGCAATGGGAGGGAGGGGGGATTAAAATGGCATAAAAATACTGCTAATTAACTAATTTAAGATCTTAAGGCAGTGTAAATAGCAAACTCTAAACTCCCCTTAAAATTACCAAAGTTTCTTTAAAATGTTCATTTATATTGACAGGCCACAAAAGAAACAGTAACTACTACTGGATAATTCAAACCATGTGTTTTACATAATATGTCCTTTCCTCTAAAGATTTTCCTCTAACTTCTTTCACCTGGTCCTCGTCAAACAGCACTCCATGCTGCATATTTATCCGCTTCATTAAATCTCCACCATCGCAGTATTCCATCACAATATATAGCTTGTTCTTTTCTGAAAGGAAAAGTATAATTTTTCCTTTATTCCTTTATTACTCATTAATACATCAATAAATTATTTTTCTTTCATATGGTCCTTCTTTCAAAAGGGAGTAGTTAATCCTCTACCTACTCCTCCATTTCAAAGAGTAACTGAGAAAAAATGGATACTTCCAGTGAAACCAGATGCAAAACTAAGACATGAAAATATATTTAAATGGAGATTCACCAAAATATTAAATACTTGAGAAAGCCCTCAAGAGACCACAATGATAGAAAGACAGATGTTCTTACAGGCAATGCTTAGCAGAATGCTTCGTAGTTGGGATTGTTCCCCAATAATAACTGTTGTAGTTTAACCCGGCAGCTGGCAACTATGCACTAGACAGCCGTTCACTCACCCCTCTCCTCCCTCCCCCGCAGGATGGGGAGGAGAAATGGACAAAAGGTAAAACTTGTGGGTTAAGATAAAGACAGTTTAATAAGGCAACAAAGGCAATACTAATGATTATAATGAACATGCACAACAAACTACATACAATAGAATTTTTCTCACCACGCGTGGACTGATTGGCAGTGAGTCCCTGAGCAGCAACTGCAGAACCCCAAACTCGTGATTTTTGCCAATTTTGCAAAACTCCCGAGAAAGACCGAACTCCCAGAAAAGAGAGGGTTTAGACTCATGGAAATGAGAAGAGCAGAAAGATTCCTGTCCCTCGGCCAAGCTCCATTCATAAACTGAGTATGACATCTATGGTGTGGAATATTTCCATTGGCCTGCTTGGCTGTCTGTCTGGCTATGCTCCCTCCCAGCTCCTCCACACCTGCTCATTAGATGAACATAAGGAACTGGAAAAAGTCCTTGATTTCATAGCAACAGCTGTAAACATCAGTGTTATCAACATTCTTCCCATACTAAATCTAAAACACAGCAGCTACTGAGAGGAAAAATAATACTATCCCAACCGAAACCATGACAGTAACTAAGTATACAGTTAGGTTTAGGGAAAAGGTTAAAAGCAGACAGGAACCAAACAGCAGAAATAAATAGCAGGGGCTACTTAATATGGAAACTCACCCTATTCTTACCTCCCGGGGGTCCAGAAGACTACCAGATTTACGTGCCCCTTAAACATTTACAGTCTTGATCACAGAAAACAATTTGAACACAAGTGGTAACTATAGCATTCATTACACAAGGCATTGCTTATGACAGATGTCAGCAGAAAAAAATAAATACAGGGAATTAGATTTCATGGGGAACAGAATCCCTTCTCTTTTCGTCCTGAAGAATTCTATATCCTTGAGTGATACCTCAAAATATGGCTCAAGACAAAAGGCCAACAGAACCTTGTCCTGGTTTTGACTGGGGTAGAGTTAATTTTCTCCCCAGTAGCTGCTGTGTTTTGGATTTACTATGAGAAGAATGTTGATACTACACTGATGGTTTTAGCTGTTGCTAAGAAATCAAGGACTTTTCTCAGTTTCCCACGTTCAGCTAATGAGCAGGTGTAAAAGAGCTGGGAGGGAGCATACCCAAGCAGCTAGGCCAAGCTGGCGAATGGAAATTTTCCATACCACAGACATCATGCCTAGTATATAAATGTGGGTTGGCCAGGGGGCAGGAGCCTTTCCTGTGAGTTTGAACTTTTTCATGAGTTTGACTCTTCTGTGAGTTTGGCGAGTTCTGTGAAATCCACGAGTTCCACGATCGCTGCTCGGGGACTGCCTGCACAATCAATACAATCAGTTGTCGGGCAATGAGAAAAATTGTATTGTGTATAGCTTGTTTTGCTTTTTTTTGAATTATTGTTATTATTATTATTTCCTTTGTTGTTTAAACTGTCTTTATCTCAAACCACGAGTTTTATTTTTTGTCCATGTCTCCTCCCCTTCCCACGGGGAGAAAGGGGAGGGATGAGTGAGCGGCTGTCTGGTGCCTAGGTGCCAAGTTAAACCATGACAGACCTATTGCTTGCCATACTTAAAAGCTCTCCTCTCCAACTGAAACTCCTAGAAAAGTCTCGCCAAACTTTGGACTCCTATTGAAGATCAAGATTAAAGCCAACTTACGCAACGCAGACACCCCAGGATCTACCATTCATGCCACAATACCTTAGGTCCCCCCCACACACATGAAGAGGGTAACTGAAGCCTGAATTTGATACTTCATGTTAATTTTTAGGAGTTGGGACCTACCCCCACTGACAAGTGAGGGGTTGGGAACAGGTTTAAGATTGGGCAATATTAACAAGGTAGGTTTTGCTGCCTTCCACTCCTATAATCACAAATAAAACAAAAATGTTAGAAATAAACCTTGCAAAGAAGCATAGAAAGTTACGATATTTGCATGCTTCATCTTGGCCAGAAGAATAACTTCTTTCTGAGAGGCTTCTTTCTCCTTCACAGGCATCTACAAAGAATTAAGAAACTATATGCTAGAAGGATATATTTTACTCTTTTCAAAAATAGTTATGTTGTTATCAAACCATTCCCACAAATACAAAAAGACTGTGCACCAAGGTGATGCAGAAATATTATAAAATACGATGTATATATATTATAAAATACCAATCTGCAGTGTATGCTTGGAAATATATTGGAACACTACCAAAATCAAACCAAATTATGACATTTTACAAACAGGCAAATTCATACCTTTAAACTTTTTACACAAATGCTATTGCTAAGCTAGCTGATGAAGAGAGTTAAACTCTAAAGTTAAAATTCCCTTAAGTATTTGAAGAATAAGCATCTAGATGATTCTGTATTCTTAATACGGATGATCTCGAAAGTATAAAGTAAAAAGAAAAAAAGTCCTTCATTTTACTGGTGTTACGAGTTCTTGCAACATTTCAGCCAAACTCTTTGCCCTGTTACATTAAATGGAAAACTTCTATTTAGTTCATTGTGATCACATTTTCATCAACATTACTTCTTAAAAATTCATGTGTCCAAATACCTATCCATCAAAATATCCCCTTCTATTTATAAAAAGTTTCTTACCCTCATTCTTAAGAAATAATTTTGAAATGTAATCCTCAAAGATTCAAAAATCAGAAAGTGAATGAAACACACTCTATCATATAAAAAAGTCTTGACTTCAAAGTAGTAATTTTCTGTATGCGGCTCCTGATTTTTTAACAAGGGAGATACACAATATGTTTTATTGATTTCCATTTTTCTATTTTGCCTACATCAAAATCTAAGATTAGCAATGCATGGGATTTATTGGCCATCAGCACAGAGAGAAACTATTTATTTATTTTATCTAGCTGTCATTACTAGCATATCAATTTTTCTGGGTTTGAACCTGGAAGTTACACAGCTCTTTCTAGATCTGATGTATAAAAATTCATTCTTCTATTATAATTCTCTAATATATCAGAAATTCACGAGTGTGGCCTAGCATAGCAAAAGACCTGTCAAAAGCATGCAGGCACTCATTGCAACGGACTGTTGAAACTCCTCTATTGAAATACCAGGGAGTTTAATTACCTGTCTTTCTGGAACTAGGTATAGGATAGGACCCACCCAAGGGTGCTGAAGGAGTTAGCAGATGTGCTCAACAAGCCACTTTCCATCATCTGTCAGCAGTCCTGGCAAACTGGGGAGGTGCCAGTTGACTGGAAGTTAGCTAATGTAACACCCATCTACAAGAAGGGCCGGAAGGAGGATCCCAGGAACTATAGGCCAGTCAGCCTGACCTCAGTGCCGGGGAAGGTTATGAGCAGCTCATCCTGAGTGCCATCATGCGGCACGTGCAGGACAATCAAGGAATCAGACCCAGTCAGCATGGGTTTATGAAAGGCAGGTCCTGTTTGACGAACCTGATCTTCCATGACCAGGTGACCTGCTTAGTGGATAAGGGAAAGGCTGTGGATGTTACCTACTCGGAGTTTAGCAAAGGCTTCAACACTGTTTCCCACAGCATCCTCCTGGAGAAACTAGCTGCCCATGGTTTGGATGGGTGTACTCTTTGCTGGATAAAAAACTGGCTGAATGGCTGGGCCCGGAGAGTGGTGGTGAATGGAGTTAAATCCAGTTGGTGGCCACTCATGAGTGGTATTTTCCAGGGCTCAGTTTTGGGGCCCATCTTGTCTAATATCTTCATCAATGATCTGGACGAGGGGATTGAGTGCTCCCTCAGTGAGTCTGCAGGTGACACCAAGCTGGGCAAGAGTGTCGACCTGCTCAAGGGGAGGAAGGCTCTGCAGAGGCATCTGGACAGACTGGATAGATGGGCTGAGGCCAACGGTATGAGTTTCAACAAGGCCAAGTGGCGGGTCCTGCACTTGGGTTACACCAACCCCATGGAACACTACAGGCTTGGGGAGGAGTGGCTGGAGAGCTGCCCAGCGGAAAAAGACCTTGGGGTGTTGTTCGACAGCTGGCTGAACATGAGCCAGCAGTGTGCCCAGGTGGCCAAGAAGGCCAATAGCATCCTGGCTTGTATCAGGAATAGTGTGGCCAGCAGGAGTAGGGAGGTGGTCATGCCTCTGTACTCGGCACTGGTGAGGCTTGGAATGCTGTGTTCAGTTTTGGGCCCCTAACTACAAGAAGGACATTGAGGTGCTGGAACATGTCCAGAGAAGGGCAATGAGGCTGGTTCTAGAGAACAAGTCTTATGAGGAGCGTCTTGAGGGAACTGGGGTTGTTTAGCTTGGAGAAAAGGAGGCTTAGGGGACACTTTATTGCTCTCTACAACCACCTGAAAGGAGGTTGTAGTGAGGCAGGTGTCCATCTCTTCTTCCAAGCAACAGGCAATAGGACAAGGGGAAATGGCCTCAGGGGATGTTTAGATGAGATACTACGAAAACATTCTTCACTGAAAGAAGAAAGCTTAGGGACATGGTTTAGTGGTGGAATTTACGTGTTAGGTTGGTGGTTGGACTCGATGATCTTGAAGGTCTCCTCCAACCTAAATGATTCTATGATTCTCCAGGAGTGGTAATCCTCTGACTCCTGAGATAGTCACCTTAACCTGCCTCTGCAGCCAACAGAAAGAAAGAGAGCACTTTATGGCTCGATTCAGCTCATTCTATAATAGAAGTCTAAAACACACATGATAAACAGCATCCTAAAAATACATATTTCTCTTGTTCTCCTAGAAAGGGAGAATAGCCAAGCAGCTCACAAGCTGACAGCTACAGAATGGACATCTAAAATTAGATCAGATGAATCAAACTGCCATAAACATACATGAGAATTGGAAAGACTGTTGTGAATTACTCACGCCTGAAAATACGGATGTGGGGGGAAAAAAGGAAATTAAAAAGTTTAGAGAACTATCACAAAATTTTGATTTGTTGTTTCAGTGGCAATTGTTCACTGTAGTTGAAACATCTGTTCTAAAATTTGAATTAGGTAGTGTCACGCTGTAGGTAGAGAGAAGTTTTGAAAAGAACAAAGATGCAGTAAAAAGCAAACACTGTTAATATAAAAATACATATTTCATCTACGCTTGTAAAATCACTAAATTAGCAAAGAGTAGTCTTTGGAAAGTTTAACTCTATGTAGCCGAGATGGGACTACAAAAGACATAAAACATAAGCCAGGCTTATACACTCGCTAAATGCCTTTAGCACAATCAGGTAAATAACGTTATCATCCAGGTCTTGCAGTTTTACCTTAGTTAGATTGATCTCTTTGATAACACACTGCTCATTATCCACTTTTCCTTTTGCCAAGAATATTTTGCCAAAAGAGCCCTCTCCAATCTTTTTAATGATTTCGTATTTGTCCATGATGTTTTCGTTTTAAAGAAGTGTCTAAAACAAAAGAAAAAAGTCTCCAAATTAGTATTGTACCTAGTCAGTGCTGTAACATCTGAGTTTGTGCTACAAACACAGTACACTACCTTTTACAACTGTCGTTTTTATCACATTTTCACCCCATTTTATCACATTTTTATTACTGCTGCTGCTTCTTCCTCAAAATGTCATTGCCTGGAAGTCTGCAAACTACTGTTGATCTGAACTTTTAATAAGCAGCAAGTTTATGAGTGTCTCATAAAGCAAAGCTTGAAGCTTAGCCCTAGTACAATCTAAGGTTAAAACATGAGAAGGCAGCAGAAAGTACTATATAAGATTACAACGTGATTTTGGAAAGTCTGACTCATTATTTCCTGAAGTTAAAAATACCGCAGACTTGTTCTTTCAATGGAAAAAAATAAAATTATAATCTATTTCATGTTGATTTAGTTTCAAATAAGGTGACCTAATGTTGGCAGCAAACAGAAAAGCCACCACGCTCCGCAGGAGAGCACAGCCAAGCGCGGCTGGGCACTAGCAGTCGTCTGCGAACGGTCACGCGGGGAACTTCCAATGTACCCGTGAGCAAACTCACACAGCTAAATATGAGCAAACACTGTAAAACTGTTCTCATTATTCAGCCTAAGTTTCAGCAAGGTGGATTTGCTAAGACATTCAACCTTCCCTGTCAGGAAGGCCAGGCAAGCCCTGCCACAGGCCACCTCGGGAGCCCGCGCGGGCAGCGGACGTTCAGGTATTTGCCATGGAGGTGCCTGGGTCGGAGCCAGCCCCCGTTCGCGGTCACTGGTGAGAAGCACCCACCCGGGACAGGTGGGCCTCACACGGGCGTGACGAGCTGCCACGGACAGGGCCTCTCACCGCCCG